TAGATACTAGTTAGGTTCAAATCCCTTAAAGAACAAGCGAGACAGTCTCGAATCAATCATAAGACAATGGTTACCTTCTAATTCCAATGGTTGGTAATAGGGAAAGCTTTCGCTTCTAATAGTAAGCTACCAATGCTAAGTGGATTTACCAATCTACTCCTTTCCTTCATACTATGCACATAATGACACATATTATGCAATTCAACCATTAATCACATCATATCCCATTCACACTATTTACCTTATCCATTAATCTCCTTATGCCAAATGTCACGCATTCTTAGTCCTCTACATATCAAATATCGCATATTTTTCATTCATTACATAAGTAAAAATATGTACATTGTATTCTACAATTTAAAGCAATTTCACACATTGCCAAGTTTGCATTAATGGATATTCAAGATACCAAACATGTTTAAATCCTATAAATTCAACAAATAATTAACACACAATTACCCAAACTATATTTTCCCCAATTACCTCAAACCTTTAAGAAGTTAAAGGTTTACCCCTCAATATAACCACTTCTAAATCTTCCAAATTAGCTTGAATGATTCCAATTGAGTTAATCTACAACTAATCATAAGAACATTCATTAATGTTCCTCTTTGAGAAATTTTCCCAACATTTAACTACACACACACACTCATTCCATCAATATCATAAATTCACTACTCCCCATACCCAATAGATTTACTAAATTTCATTGACCCACATTGTTATTAATGAGTTACTAAACCATCATTAATGGCCATCAAACATTTTCAACAAATTCATATATTACTAATTTTAGATATTAATTGAAATATCTCACTTAATCAAACACCATTTATTACTAATTTTAGATATTACTTGAAATATCTCACTTAATCAAACACCATTAACAATTTAAATCCATGATAATTAAGGGATTTACCTTTATAGAGATTACTAAGTTTTGATTTCAAATCAAGCGATCTTAAGTTTTCATAATTAAAATGAGTTTAAATCATTTATAAACTTTTATATTAGAGTAAAATAAGTTACAAAAGTATAAGATACTTTAAAGGAGTGAAAAAAATTGAAAACAGATGGAAAAACATCAATTTGTTGAAAAACAGAGCAATGCGCTGTGGCTTATGCACACCGCAGCATGTTGCTCTGTGCCACATGCCATGGCGTGTTGCATGTTTTATGACAGCAAATTCTGTTGTCATTTGATAGCAAAATCGGGCAACTTTCGGCATGCTCCAAATCTCCGTCTGACGTCTGAATGATACGATCTAGGTATCTATAGAATGTTCTTTTCGTAAACTAGCTAATGGCATGGACTTCACTTTTAAACAAGTCAAATCAGGAAGTTGGACACCCAAACATATTTTATCACTTTTCACAACTTCACACATAAAAGGGTGTCTAAAACCTATAACAAGTGCCAAACGCTATTCCTAACACCCAGATCATGTTCATTAAACCTAAAATGACTAGTACACACATCATATGCATGCAATTACCAGTATAACACAAAATCACTCCTCAATCCCTTTAATACTAAAAATAAGGGGAAGATAATTTGCATTGCATTACATCAAAATAAATCATTACACATTTAAAATAATATTTTTACACTTGCACTAGTATTTTAACCTTATAAACATATAAAAATTAATCATAATCATACCTTAGGGCC